TGGAAGTTTAGAGAGAAGTTGTGTGCAAAGCAGGTTTGCTTTGAAGAGCAAAATGTGTCTGTTGATTTTTTGAAAGGAATTCTAATAAATAATACTCAGTAAATATATCACTGTTATCGGAGAATCTCAAAGAGTTTTACATACATTAATAAGAAACGTTTTACTAGAATTAATTGGAAAAGCAGTTAGTCATTTTATTCTCTCCTCTGAACAGATAAGTAAACTGAGACATGTTATTTGTTCAAAGTCACACAGTGAATCAATGACAGAATAAGAAGCAGAATACATACATTTTTACTTCAAGTCCTCGATCTAATTGCTAGACACACCACGTCAGTTAAGAGTTCTGACTCAGACTTTGTCTTTTTATACTTGAGTGTTAGTGCCTGGAATGAATTTCTTTTGTGTGAAATACCGCACATGTTCTGAGTAAACCAGGAACGGATTCATTTACTAACATCTGCAATTAAATGTGGGCAAATTGGATGGCACAGACAGTAAACTACGTACCTCATTGCAAGCACAATCAGGCAGTTAAATATGTAAGTACATTGAATTGGACCCACAAAATCAGAAGCTGAGTTTAGGCCTTTTTAAAAAAATTAGGCCTTAAAGAGCTGCAGATAATTATACATCACACAAAGAGAAGTGGGAGTTTGTATTCTGACAATTTTTAAGAAAGTGGAATCATTTAAGTTAATTGTCTGTATTGGCTCATTTGAACACCTGTTGAGTTTAATTGGCTAGCATCTGGCGCTAATTGTGGGTAAAGAGAGTGGTGGATTACTAATTGGCTGTCTTTACATTGTTTCATTTTCTTTTGTCTTCCTTTTCAGCTTTTTCTGTTGGGGTTTTAAGAGTGTGTTTCAGTAAGATTCAGGATTCAAAATGAAGAGATGTACAGTTATCTGTGAATAATGTAAAATGCAGTACTTCCTCCAGGAAAACACCAAGTACATATCTAGAAGGGCACACAGTTTCAGCTTAGCGAGCATCAATAAACTGTTGATCTTAAGAGCCAACTTGCCACACTACAGAAAACTCAGGAAAATTAAAGGTTCGTCAGTGAGAATTTTCAAGGAAAGCAAAGTGGTCTGGAGTATGTACTTCAGAAACCAGAGTGGGAGATATCTGGGTTGTGGTAAAAAGAATGATCCAGGGCTAACAATTTTATTAAATCCTTTTCAGTTTAACTATTAATTATTTCTGTGAATCTGAGATTTTAAAAAGCCCAAAAGAATGAAAACTCAACAACAAGTAAAACATTGAAAAACACACTTTTGCACACTGTAAGGGCAAAAGAACTACAGGAAAAGACAATGGCAGAAGGGAACTGAATAGTTCAAAGTACAGGCTCTGAACCTCTTCAGGTGCTTTGTTCCCTCCATACTTACAAGACTTCAAGTTCTTAGGAGTTAACACAGGACAGCACTTTGAGTGAATATATAGGGAAAGTCATAATTGAGTCTTTATAAGGAAACAAACTGTGTATTGCCAGGTTAGAACAAGCACAGACAAAATCCTATCAACTGTTGAGAAAGGGCTTGTTTTGAGTCACATTATAGAAATAACAGTGGAGTCTTCACATCAAGTTGGAAATGTAGTAAGCTGACAACAAGATTTCTAAACTTGTCCAGAAATGCTACTGACACCATGAGGAAAGTTGACAGAGGCAAATAAGCTTAAATAGACTGATGAAATTTGGTGCACACGGAGTAATTTTAGGGTCAGTAACCTATAGAGCATTTTTTAAAATAAAGAATAAAATAACCATATAATCAGGTGATGGGCGGAAGCGGGGGGGGGGGGGCGGGGGGGGAAGGCTTG